AATAGGAAATACTAGACACATCATTGACACAGCCAAACACATGCAGGAAGTCTCACTGGCTGCATAAGCTTGAACTCTGGATTTCAGAAATTGACAGCAGCTGAAGTCTAGTTATACATCCACATGGCAAAGAATGATATGAATAACACCAAGAGGTGGTCACACTGCAGATTAGAAGTGTGCATGCAGACAGGGAATGTGTGCCCACCAGGCATTCTAGGAGAATGAGGCAGGTAGGACAGGAGTCCCCTCAGTCTATCTGGAAACTGGTGAGGTAATTGATTCCTGAGGGAGTGCAGTCAGACCCAGGTCTATGGCACCATGGGAGGAGGAAAAAGCATGGAAGGGCAATAGTGATAGGGTACTCCATAGTCAGGGGATCAGATGGACGTTTCTATCGGATTAAATGTGACTTTGAGGTAATGTATTGCCTTCCTGGTTTGAGTGGGTGCAGGACATTCTTCTGAGGGAGGGGGAATCTGTCAGAAGTCAGACTCCACAATGGTACCAACTTCATAGGTTTAAAGAAAAGAAATGAGATCCTGAAAGAATATTTTAAGGGGTTAGGAAGGAAATTAAAAAGCAGGACCTAAAGTACAGTAATCTGAGGATCACTCTGGCACTTGTGAGTATAAGAACAGAAAGATTGATCAATTTAACAGGTGGCTAGCGATCTGGTGTAGGAGTGAAACCATAAAATTTCTGAAACATTGGGACCTGTTCTGGGGTAGATGATACACATATAAGCTAACATCTTAACAATAAGACCATAAGACATGGCAGAATTAAGCCATTCGGCTTATTGAATTTGCTCTACCACTTGATCATGGCTGATACGATTCTCAGCCCCATTCTCCAAGAAACCCTTGATCTTTGTACTAATCAAGAATCTATCTCTGTCTTAAATACACTCCATGACTTGGCCTCCAGGGCCCTCTATGGCAATGAGTTCCACAGATTAACTACCCTCTGGCTGAAGAAATCCCTCCTCACCTCAATTCTAAAGAGTCGTTCCTCCACTCTGAGGCTGTGCTCTTGAGTCCTAGTCTCTCTCCTATTGGAAACATCTCCATGGTCACTCTGTACTGGGACTGATATCCTCACAAGGAGATTGTCCAGAGGATGGGAACTTGAAGGGGAACCCAATCAGAAAGAAGTAAAGTTAGTAACAGGAAGTAGAAAAGCATCTCAGGAGACTAGAAGACAGGAACAGCAAAGGTAAGGATCAAATGTCTTCACTTATGTAATTGACTCCTTGATCAATAATGCAACATCACCTCTTTTCCAACTATCCCTGTCACAGCTGAAAATACTATACTTTGGAATATTGAACTGCCAGTCTTTAGGGTTTAAAGGGCACTGGAAGACTTGCCAACCATTTGCTTGAAGAAGGGATCCACAATTTGTTCTTCACCATTCGGAGAGTAAAGGTTATCTAACTGTGAAAGGAAAAAGGATTTTAAAGTAGCTTTGAGATGTAGGAACTGCCAATGCTGGAGAATCTGAGATAACAAGGTGTAGAGCTAGATGAACACAGCAGGCCAAGCAGCATCAGAGGAACAGGAAAGCTGACGTTTTGGGTCTGGACCCTTCCTCAGAAATGGGGGAGGGAAAGGGGACTCTGAAATAAATAGAGGGTGGGGGAGGCAGCTGGAAGGTGGATAAAGGAGCAGGTAGGTAGAGAGGAGACGGACAGGTCAAGGAGGTGGGTATGGAGCCAGTAAAGGTGAGTGGAGGTGGGGAGTTAGGATGGGGGTTGGTCAGTCAAGGGAAGACGGACAGGTCAAGGAGGCGGGGATGAGGCTGGTAGGTAGGAGGTGGGGGTGGCGTTTGGTCAGTGAGGTGGGAGGAGCGGATAGGTGGGAGAAAAGACAGGTCAAGAAGGCGGGGACAAGCTGGGCTGGTTTTGGGATGAGGTTGGAGGTGGGAAGATTTTGAAGCTTGTGAAGTCCATGTTGAGACCATTGGGCTGCAGGGTTCCCAAGCAAAATATGAGGTGCTGTTCCTGTAACCTTCGGGTGGCATCGTTGTGACACTGGAGGAGGCGCAGGATGGACATGTTGTCCAAGGAGTGGGAGGGGGAGTTGAACTGGTTCGCAACTGGGAGGTGCAGTCATTTGTCATGAACCAAGCGTAAGTGTTCCACAAAGCGGTCTCCAAGCCTCCGCTTGGTCTCCCCAATGTAGAGGAGGCCACATCGGGAACAGTGGATACAATATACCACATTAGCAGATGTGCAGGTGAACATCTGTTTAGTGTGGAAGGTTTTCTTGGGGCCTGGGATGGGGTGAGGGGGGAGGTGTAGGGGCAGGTGTAGCACTTCCTGCGGTTGCAGGGAAAAGTGCCAGGGGTGGTGGGCTAGTGGGGAGTGTGGAGCAGACAAGGGAGTCTCAGAGACAGCGGTCCCTCCAGAAGGCAGATAAGGGTGGGGACAGAAAAATGTCCTTGGTAGTGGGGTCAGATTGCAGGTAGTGGAAGTGGCGGAGGATGATGCGTTGAATCCAGAGGTTGGTGGGATGGTACGTGAGGACCCCACTTCCGCCACCTGCAATCTGACTCCACTACCAAGGACATTTTTCCTTCCCCACCCTTAACTGCTTTCCGGAGGGACCGCTCTTTCTGTGACTCCCTTGTCTGCTCTACATTCCCCACTAGCCCCATCACCCCTGGCAACCGCAGGAAGTGCTACACGTGCCCCGTACCTCACCCCCATCACAGGCCCCAAGAAAACCTTCCACACTAAACAGATGTTCACTTGCACATCTGCTAACGTGGTATATTGTATCCACTGTTCCCGATGTGGCCTCCTCTACATCGGGGAGACCAAGCGGAGGCTTGGAGACCGCTTTGTGGAACACCTACGCTCGGTTCGTGACAAACGACTGCACCTCCCAGTCGCGATACACTTCAACTCCCCCTCCCACTCCTTGGACGACATGTCCATCCTCGGCCTCCTCCAGTGCCACAGTGATGCCACCCAAAGGTTGCAGGAACAGCACCTCATATTTCACTTTGGAACCCTGCAGCCCAACGGTCTCAATGTGGACTTCACAAGCTTCAAAATCTCTCCACCCCCGACCTCATCCCAAAACCAGCCCAGTTTGTACCCACCTCCTTGATCTGTCCGTCTTTTCTCCCACCTATCCACTCCTCCCACCTCACTGACCAACCCCACCCCCACCTCCTACCTACCAGCCTCATCCCCACCTTCTTGACCTGTCCCGTCTTCCCTTGACTGACCAACCCCCATCCTAATTCCCCACCTCCACTCACCTTTACTGGCTCCATACCCGCCTCCTTGACCCATCTGTCTCCTCTCCACCTATCTGCTCCTTTATCCACCTTCCATCCGCCTCCCCCCCTCTATTTATTTGAGTCCCCTTCCCCTCCCCCATTTCTGAAGAAGGGTCCAGACCCGAAACGTCAGCTTTCCTGCTCCTCTGATGCTGCCTGGCCTGCTGTGTTCAGCCAGCTCCACACCTTGTTATCTTAAAGTGGCTTTGGACGTTTTTTTTGGAGAATGAAGTGTCTGCTTAAGCATAATAAACTATAATTTTGCTAGGACAATTTTCAAAGTCACACGACACCAGGTGTGACAAAGGGACTATGCTCTGAAAGTTTATGACTGTAAATAAAGCCCTGTTGACTATAACCTGATGTCGTGTGACTTTTGGCTTTATCCACCCCAGTCCAACACCGGCACTTCCACGTCAGGACGATTTTCAGTCATTGTGAAAATAGGGATCTTTTCTGCAGTTTATGGTATATGGGTTCTTGAAATAGTGTAGAGTTCACGTTGCTTTTGATGTAGTTTGAGAATTGAGTAATTACATGGTTGTACTATCGATTAGTCTTGCAAGGACCCACAGAACCTGTGATAACAAGGTGTAGAACTGGATGAACACAGCAGGCCAAGCAGCATCAGAGGAGCAGGAAGGCTGACGTTTTGGGCCTAGACCCTTCTTCAGAAATGGGGGAGGGGAAGGGGGTTCTGAAATAAATAGGGAGAGAGGGGTAGGCGGATAGAAGATGGATAGAGGACAAGGTAGGTGGAGAGGAGACAGGTCAAAGAGGCGGGGATGGAGCCAGTAGAGGTGCGTGTTGGTGGGGAGGTAGGGAGGAGATAGGTCAGTCCAGGGAGGCCGGACAGGTCCATCCCTGCCTCTTTGACCTGTCTGTCTCCTCCACCTATCTTCTCTTCTATCCATCTTCTATCCGCCTCCCCCTCTCTCCCTATTTATTTCAGAACCCCCTTCCCCTCCCCCATTTCTGAAGAAGGGTCTAGGCCCAAAACGTCAGCCTTCCTGCTCTTCTGATGCTGCTTGACCTGCTGTGTTCATCCAGCTCTACTCCTTGTTATCTCAGACTCTCCAGAATCTGCAGTTCCTGCTATGTCTGAAACAATTTTAACCCCACAGAACCTATGATCAGTGGTACGGAATTTTCTAGGTGGCCAAGCATTTGTTTTAGGTTCAGTCATATAATCTGACAGTTTTGTGTGTTCTGTTTTTGTTCTTTGAGGACAAGCCACATGCATCTCGACTTTCACCCTTTCTTAAGAAGATTAGAACTACTGCATCTGTTCTGTTGACACAGGGTTTTCATCAACGCGCGTAACTTCATCAGCCAAGACTTGAAGGTTCAGATCATATGAGTTACTGGTTTTCCTGCGCCAAATGCTAAGAGAATGAGGAACTGTTGAGAGGAGTTCAACTTCCAATTCAGTTGAGGGTCAGATTGTGGAAAGCCAGTCAAAATACCTGGAATCTGCAGTGTATTTACTTTTTGTTTTGTACGTATGCGATTACAGCTTCCACTCGCATCTTCTGATGACAGGTCCAACAACTTAAAACGTTAGCTGTGCCTTTTTCTCCACAGATGGTGTCTGAGCCACTGGAATATGTCCAGCAGTAACATTTTTTTTCCCCTCGCTGCGGTCTGTCAGCGGTGGTTTAGTAGACGGCACATTTGCTTCTAAACCACAAAGTCCATTGATTCAAGTCCCAGTCCAGGGTTTGAGACTAAAGAGGAAAATGATCCAAGGCGAATGTTTCAGTGTAACGCTGGAGTAGCCCGAAACAAAAGTCGCAGTGCCAAGAGGAAGGGGGTTACCTCTCCAGGGCAGGCCCACATTGACCCCGAATCAATATCAACAACAACAACAAACCATGAACCGTTGGCCGGTGATCCGGAAGCAATGCCTCGAGACCCGGAAGTTGGCAGCGCCGGGACGAAGATGGCGGCGTTTCTGGGCAGTTTCCGCGCCTTTTCAAGCGGCAGGTCGTTGTTCCGGCTGCACCAGGTAAAGTTTCGCTGCTTTAATTTTTAAAAGAAAAATACACCCTCCTTTCGATCCCCGAAGTTTCTATGATGGCGCTTTGCCGATCACTGTCTATCAGGAATTGGTCAGCACGTAGCGTTCTCCAGATCCTGCGGGAAAAGGAGACGGTTGATTCCGTGGCGTGGTTCCCAGAGCAGATTGTCAGAGACATTTGACAGAATGCCTCATGGCCAGAGCCTTCCAAGGTGTAGCTTGGCTGTTGGTGAGAAGGACACTGGCCATAAGATCTTTCATGGATGCCTGGCCTTTGTGCGTCACCATATGCTGTCCTCGATGTGACTGCACTGTTAAAGAGACTGTCACACATCTCCTACTGGAACGTGCCTTTGCAAAAATTGTCTGGCAAGACATGCAGTGAATTTTTGTTGAGGTTCATCAGCAGTTCTGTGATTCAGTACTCCGCACTCTACGGGCTGTTCCCCGGGACACAAACTGAGACAAGCATCGACTGCGCCTGGAGGACCATTAATTCAGTGAAAGACGCTCTTTGGTCTGCCTGAAACTTGTTGCTCTTATAGTGTAAAGAGTTGACCGCAACCAAGTATTGCAGACTGGTACATTCTAGGGTTATGTGCTGAAGGACATGCTAAAACCAAGGTGTAATGGGGAAAGACCACTATCTAAGGTTTTTCTGTTGAAGTGTAAACGAGAGTCTATTCAGTTATCAGACTGTCGCGTTGTCTCAATGTATGTAAATAGTGTTCTGCATGAGTAAGAACAATCTTTGGCTTTTTCAACTACGGGGAATGCTAAATTCCAATTTTTTTTTAATATATAATGACTGTACAAAACTGCTTTAGTACCTGTGAGTGTATATACAGACTTCTTATGAATAAAATATATTTTTGCAATTTAAAAAAAATCAGTCATCCTCCATAGCTTTAAACACTGCTGACCTTCTAACCATTTGTTGACCTCCAATTGACTGACAATTGGGAATTAAACCACTGTCACAAACATAAAACAAAGAACTGCAGATGCTGGAGATCTGAAGCAAAAACAGAAATTGCTGGCAAAACTCAGCTGGTTTGGCAGCATTTGTGGGTAGAAAGCAGAGTTAGCATTGAGTCTGAAGAAGAGTCACTGGACTCAACCCTAACTCTTGTTTCTCCCCACAGATGCTGCCAGACTTTACGAGTTTCACCAGTAATTTCTGCTTTTGACCTACATAAACATCTTCAAGTTGTTTAACCTCTGTAAGAGCAGCAGAATACCACTTCCCTGTTATGTTTCCAGATTTCCATATTAATCAGCAATGCCCGTTTGATACTGATTGATGTCTGCTTCAATCAGTTCTTTGCAAATAAAGTGTCCACTTGAGCATAATGAAGTATAATCGTGACAGGGGGATTTTCAGTCATTATCAAAGTTAAATGGTTTTCTGTAGTTTATGGCATGAATTGGTCAGGTAGTTCATTTCACAACTGTGCCACTCTTCTTTTGCTGTTGATCTTAAATCTCTAATGTTTAATCCTCTATCAGCAATCACTGGAAACAGTTTGCTTCATCTAGTCTACCCCCTGACTTTATAACTTTAAATCCCTCAATTAGATGGTCAATTCAGCTTTTGTGAAACAGCCAAAGTCTTTCTTTTCTATTTGTATTTTCTCCTAACATCCAAGTGAATGTGTTATGTATTGTAGCCTCAATATCCTTCCTATAACATTGATCCTAAAACTGTACGTAACTATCTCACGAAGGTTTTATAATTATTCAGCATTTTGATGGTTTAAAATATTTAGACCCCTTTTGATAAAATCTGTTAACTTTATTAGCTTTTCTATGGTCTTATTCACTTAAATGTTGTCTTTAATGTACCCCATGTTATTCAACCGGTCCTTTGCTCTGACCAGATGTACAACTTCATGCTTACATATGCTACTCTTTTGCCCATTCTATCATATTTGCATTGTAATTTTGACCTTAGAATTATTAAGATGCCTGTTAGTTCAACATGATCAATAAATTTGGACACATTCCTTCTAACCCTACATCCAGATCTTTGGTCTACACAGTGAACATAAGCAGCCCCAGAACAGAACTCTGGGACGGTGCTACCTACCTCCAAACACTGTCGGAACTGGATTTCGTGTTTTGGTGGGGTGAAAGCGATCCAGTCAATAGTGCACCCATGTTTTTCCTCAGTGAATCAAGCATCAGATTTCATTTGTGGCCATCTGATGGGAAGGCAGCCATCTAGCAGTGCAAAGGGAATGGATCTCCATGATTTAATGGGAATGTAGGCTGGAACACCATGCAGCCGCTGTATTTTATCATAATTATCATTAGGTGAGGAGGGGTAAAGACTCCCCTGTTCTCCCATTCATTGCTTGACAGTAACAGGTGTTGGCTTTATAATTTATAGAGAATGTGTATTGCTAATTCTTCTGTGTTTTGAGATTATGAAGACCTTACTCAGCCAGGTTTGTAGGGCAAAGTGTGCAGAAGACACTGAAAGTCTGCAGAGGGATATAGATAGTCTAAGTGAGTGGGCAAAGCTCTGGCAGATGGAGTACAATGTTGATAAGTGTGAGGTCATCCATTTTGGTAGGAATAACAGCAAAATGGACTATGTTTTAAATGGTAAAAAATTGCAGCACACTGCTGTGCAGAGGGACTTGAGTGTCCTTGTGCATGAATCGCTAAAAGTAGGATTGCAGGTGCAGCAGGTAATTAAAAAGGCAAATGGAATTTTGTCTGTCATTGCTAGAGGGATGGAGTTTAAAAACAGGGAGGCTATGCTGCAGCTGTATAGGGTCCTGGTGAGGCCACACCTGGAGTACTGCGTGCAGTTTTGGTCTCCTTACTTGAGATATACTAGCACTGGAGGGGGTGCAAAGGAGGTTCACTCGGTTGATTCCAGAGTTGAGAGGGTTGGATTATGAGGAGAGACTGAGTAGACTGGGATTATACTCATTGGAATTCAGAAGAATGAGGGGAGATCTTGCAGAAACATACAAGATTATGAAGGGAATAGATAAGGTGGAGGCAGGGAGGTTGTTTCCACTAGCAGGTGAAACTAGGACTAGAGGGCATCGCCTCAAAATAAAGGGAAGAGGATGTAGGACTGAGGTCAGGAGGAACTTTCTCACCCAAAGGGTTGTAAATCTGTGGAATTCCCTGCCCAGTGAAGCAGTTGAAGCCTCCTTGCTGAATATTTTTAAGGCAAGGCTAGATAAATTTTTGAACAGTAAAGGAATTAAGGGTTATGGTGAGTGGGCGGGTAAGTGGAGCTGAGTCTCGAAAAGATCAGCCATGATCTTATTAAATGGTGGGGCAGGCTCAAGGGGCCAGATGGCCTACTCCTGCTCCTAGTTCTTATGTTCTTATGTTTCCTTCATCTAAACAAAGAACAAAGTAAGTTTATTAAAACTTTGTTCCCTGAGCTAAAAAAAGACTAAGTAATGCAATACCATTCACATGGTCACGTGCATTTGCCTAAGCTTGCACATATGTACAGAAGTAGAGTTGGAAATCCATGAAAGCTAAAGCAAGAAAGTATATGTTTAGCTGGACCTCAAGTGATCTTGCTGGAGCGTGTTCAATATTCTGCGTTCTTAGTTCAGCGCTTCTCCTGTTCCTGTGTGAAACAGATTTTCAAATTTTAAAAGATCTCAGTTTAGTGTCGATTTTTCTCTCCAGAATGGTTACTTCTTGAATCCATCACTTCCAAAGATGGAGACAGCACACTGCTTCTCAAGCTGTTATCAGGACATTGTCATCATCTCTCTTTTTGCTTGATCAGGGACTCTTGAAGCACTTTGCTCATTTGTATATGCAAGAGAGATTCAATGAGTTTGTATCTGTGCAATTGTTGCTTCAAAATAGGTAACTTGTCTCATCTTAGAAACATCTGGATATTTTCAGTGTGACATGATTTGATAGGAAATGGGGTCATTCACAATCCCCAAGGGTTTTTTTTATTTTCATCCAACTTGGTGGAATGCAAACATGTGTAATTTGCACTAGCCAACCTCTTGGGCTGTTTCTTCTTTAAAAAGCAATTGCCTTTAGATGATCTCAGATTTTCAAATGAATGCAGCCAACAAAAGGAAAATAAGAAATTTTATCTTCAAAGAAATACATTCTCAAAGCATTGTTCACAGAAAGTTAGTTATGGCTATAAATTGCTCTTCCAGTCTTTGTTTATTTATCATCGCAGGCTCCAAAAACTTATAGAAATGAATTTTTTTTTAAATTGAGCCTGCTATTTCTATCAGAACTGGCTTCTTCATGCAGCTGTCATCCCAGTGACAGGCCTTTATTTTTACCCATATGCTACCTCATTATGTCTGCTGTAAAGCACTTCCAAAGTCTTTCCCATCCAAAAGCTGATAAATGCAGTGGGTAGTGAAAAATTATTTTTAAGTGCCACTTTAATGAACTCACTAGTTTGTTAAGTGGCAGTTCCAAATTACAGGAGAGCTTTTGCTTTTGGCACCTGCTTGCTTTCTGTCATGTCTGAGAGTGGTGTGATAATGTATTGTTGACTCAATGCCATTGCATTGTAATTTCTGTTTGCAACCATAATTTCTAGTCCTTAAGAAACTGCTATTTCCTATTTCCATTTATAATCCAATTTGACACCCTACCTAACAATTCCACACCCTTTAATCTTCTGCAGTAGTTTGTGTTGATTTGTCAAAAACCTGCCAAAAGTCATGCATTCTACATCTACTGCATTTCCACCATGTATCACATTTGTTACTTCATCATGAAACTCACATTAGACCCTTTAAGCATAACCTTTATGAAATATTCACTGCCTGTTTCTAATTATTATCTCTTCATATTGAAACATGTATCTTTGAACACATATTAAAAATTGACCAATTGAACTGTCTGAGGTCTCAATTCCCTAGATCCATGCCAAATCTATTTCCAAACTGTAAAAGATCAATCCCTATGCCTTCTGGATGAAATTAGCCCTCAAACCACACACATCCCCTTCACCCCATTTGTCTCAATATGGGTGTGGGAATAGATTCTGAAAAGTATCATTCTCATTTGAAGTACAATTTATGGCCTTGCTATAGTGCTCTAAATCAAATCTCTTTTCTTACATCCCAACCTTTACTAAATTTGTTTTCATCTACCTCCACAACCCTGCTTGATCGAACCATTCCTGCTCCCTGCTCCCATCATACATGCTACTATCATTCAGAAGCTTGACCTATTCAGTGTTTCTGAAGAAGGGTCACTGGACACACATACATTAACTCTGTTTTCTCTCCACAAATGCTGCCAGACCTGAGTTTCTCCAGCAATTGTTGTTTTGTTTCAGATTTCCAGCTTCCGCGATTCTGTGTTTTACAATATGTTTCTTGATATTCTACCAAACTGTTCTCTTCATAAGATACAAGTTCATTCAAAACTCATTTTTGCATGAAATATTGCATATCAATCTTCGCCAAGCTTTTCTGGTATCTGGAACCTAATGCTGTACCTCCTGCCCCTATCGTCAGTGGCTAACCATTCAGCTGGAGTGCTGTTGTTTAAACAAAGTTCAATTCTGCAGGAAGAAAAAAAAATTTATATCTTATGGCTCAGATTCTTTGATAATGTCTATGAATAACTTTTTAAAAAATATACTGTTTGACTTTCAGGCTAGTCGAATTGCAGTTTTGAATTATGCCAGCCACAATATGACAATCGTACACCTTTGGTAAGTTTATACATATCAGCTGACTTCAGAATAATGATATCGTTTCAGAAAAGCTGAGGTAGAGAATTCTTAAGATGTATTTATGCAACACATACCATATTAGTATAGAATATTTGAAGCTCAAACCCAAATTCAGAGCCACACTGGAGGAGGGAGGTTCGAGATGGTTTACTTTGAGACTTCTTCGTGCTTCACCAGCATTGCATTTATAGTGTAAATGCTCTGCTCATGTAAATTCATTTCCTCGTTTTGTGTTTTTTTGAAATATGTCTGTATGTTCAGTTGTCATTAGTGACATTATGACAGCTGATTTGGTGGAATCACTGTGCTCAGGGTATAAGAACACCTGGATAATACAACAATGACATTTTTAGTAGTGTCTTGTGTTAATCATGTTTCTGCTGTTTGTAGTTGAGCTTTCTTATACCCATATAGTCAAACAAATCAATAGAAATAAAATCCATTGTGTCATTTATTTTTAAGGGGACACAGAGTTGACCTGCCTGCTTGAAAATTTAAACATAGCCTGCCAGTTAACTATCAACTGGTGCATTTTCCATGGCAATGTTTACCAATGAGTCCACTTGTCAACCAATTAGTACTCTCTTCTCGTGTAATGTAAATGTTTGTTTTCCCCTTGAATTAGTGCTGTTGTTAATTGGCTAGGTGAGTGTAAGATGAAAACCTTTGATAAAATGTACTTTTTTTTCAGCAGTGCTCAAGTTCTGTACCAAATGTCTATTGGAGTATCAAATGTTCATGCAATAAATAATAACCATCTGACTTGTATTAGTGGGTTGAAGATGTTATAGTCTTAATGATATCAGTCTAGCGATTGAGAGGCATAGGTTCAAATCCCACCATGGTAGCTGGTGAAATTTACGTGCAATTTAATAAAATCTGGAATTCAAAGCTAATATCAATAATGATAACTATGATAATTATTATCAATTGTCATAAGAAAAAAAACAATTTGGTTCACTAATGCCGTTTAGGGAAGGAAATCTGTCATCCTTACCCAGTCTGACCTCTGTGATTCCAGCGCCACAGCAATGTGATTCACTTTTAACTTCTCTGTAATGGCCTGGAAAGTCATTCAGTTCAAGAGAATTGGGGGATAGACAAGAAATGCCCGTTAAAATACCAGTGATGTCTATATCCAATGAAAAAATTTAGACATGACATAATTATCATAACAGTTGTCCTAATGATGTTGGATGCATATAACTTATTAATGTTGCTAGGTACATGAAATGCAATGTGTTTAGTAATTAGGTTAGTTCCGATCATTATTAATTGATTTTATTCATAGAATGTGAGTGTTTCTGCCTAAGTCCACAATAATTGCCCATCCATATGATGGTGGTAAACTACCTTTTTGAATCACTGCAGTCTTTGGGATATAAGGACACCCACAGGGCTGCCCTTCCTTTTGTAGTGGTTTGATACAACTGAATGGCTTAATAGGCCATTTCAGAGTGCAGTTAAGCGTCTAGAGTCACATGTAGCCAGACCAGGCAAGAAATCAGATTTCCTTCCCTAAAGGATATTAGTGAGCCCGATGAATTTTTACAACAATTGCTAGGATGCTAGTCTTCAGCCAATTTAATTCATTCCATGTGATATGAAGAAACAATTGGAGGCTGTGGATACTGCAGAGGCTATTGGACCTGACGCAATCTTACAATAGAACTGAAGACTTAGGTTCCAGAACTTGCTGCATCCGTAGCCAAACTATTCCAGTTCTGCCCTCAGGCTCAAGTAGTTCAATACTTTTCTGGGTGACTTCCGACTTTTGGACATGGACTGCTTTAGCACCTGAGGAGATGTGAAGCATGAACGTTGTGAATATCCCCATTTCTGACTTTATGATGGAGGGATAGTCATTGATGGTTGGGCCTAGTACCCTGATAAACTCCTGAAGATATATCTGAAATTCTGAAAAATAAAAGTACAGATCACAAGAGTGGGTAAATTGTCTCTGTAAGTTCTTTTTGAGGCAATGGCTTAGTGGTATTATCGCTGGATTGTTAATCCAGAGACCCAGATAATGTTCTGGGGACCCAGGTTCAAACCCCACCACGGCAGGTGGGAATTTGAATTCAGTAAAATATCTGGAATTAAGAATCTAATGATGACCAACTGTCGATTGTCAGAAAAAACCCATCTGGTTCACTAATGTCCTTTAGGAAAGGAAACTGCCATCCTTACCTGGTCTAGCTTACATGTGACTCCAGACCCACTGTAATGTGGTTGACTCTGAAATGTCCTCTGGACAGTTATAGATGGGCAGTAAATGCTGCCTAGCCAGCGACGCCGTCATCCTGTTAATGAATAAAAAATAATTCAGTAATGAATGACACACAGTTGTCTGTAAAGCGATGATTGTTTTTCTGTTGTCTTGATCCAGTGGACCTGGATCTTTTCTTGTTATGACATTTTCTTTTGAGTTCTCTTGGTTATTTCTGTCTTTTCACTCACCAAGGGGAATGGTCTCTCTGCACTAACAGATTCTAAACAAACTGCAGCTGGACCAATCCAAGCACTGTCATCAGGCAACCTTTCCTCAACTCAAAAGCTGGCTCAAGGATGTATCAATATCACTACTCCAACAGCAACATTGTCTTAAACAGCTAAAAATGTGCACCACTTAATATTTTGCAAAAATCTCTTGGTATTCTAACTATATAGCAGCCCAACTTCTGATTTGATTTATAGTCCAAAAAGAAAAATGTATGGTCCTTTACTCTGCGGTTGTAACTTCGTTTAAATATGGTTTAGTTTTTGTAAAGTTCAGATTCTCCATTTACACAAAGTTAATAATTGTATGATGCAATTTCTTTATTTAACAGTGGTAAAAGTCTAGCATTGATGCCTTCAGCGGGAATCTATTTGAGGTGTCCACATTATAGCACAGCTCCCCTGGTAAGATTTCCAACAAGTTTTGGTAGTTATGTTTGGTGCTTTGCTTAGGATCTGCACTGTATAATTTTAGTTAGTGATTGTTGGTGGAAAAAAAGAGACTTAGAGTCAGAGCTTTTTTGCCTTCCAGTCATCAGACAGATGCAAGAATGTCAAACTTCAAAGGGAGCACTAACTTATACTGCATGAATGAAGGATGCTGATTCATTGCTGAGGTGTTGCCATTGAAAATGCACCAGGAAACCTGTTCCCCAGGCTTTTGAGATAACAAGGTGTAGAGCTGGATGAACACAGCAGGCCAAGCAGCATCAGAGGAGCAGGAAAGCTGACGTATCGGGCCTAGACCCTTCTTCAGAAATGGAGGCTTTTGCTTAATTCAAAAAAGGTACAATGCCTAGACATGGTCTTTTTCCATGCAGAAGACTGTTCCCGGTGTTTGTGTATCTCTAGTTTGTTGCAAGTGTGAGTGAGCCATATTGTGAGGAGACTGATAATTTTGAATTGATTATCAGTGTAATCAATGGCACACTCAGGATTATTCGGTCTGCACCCTTTTGTCATGTAGTCTAAATTGTTGTTCATTTAGCAATTTGGCATTCTTGCATCTGTCCTGATGAGTGCCAGTAGTATTCAAATTTTGTATTACCAAATGATTATTAGTTGCTTGTCATGAAACCTAGACCTAAATTTCAAATATAATATCAATCAAAATAAAAATTTTTAATTGTACATTCATCATACCCTATATATGAGTTATTTTACTAGAAATAAAAGTATGTGAGAACCTTTTCAGAGAATGTTGAGTTTGAATAAAAATATGAGTGATAACTTTCTATACTTATAATATACTTAAACATTTATCTTGGGCATGTAAATGCCCAGAAGTTATGACACAATCAGCTCAAGATGTCCTGCCAAAGTTACCTTTAATGTGAGGAAATAAAATACCATGTTTTCACACCCTTTTCCCATAACTTTCATCCAAAAAGGAAAAATTACAGGGAATGTAGGTTTCAACCCTACTTTGGGAAGCCCTGTTCTGAATTCCTTTCTTTGGTGAGAAGCACAAAATGACAAGCACTACTCTAATGTCCTATTAAGGATTTAAATAGGCTCAGAATTACATGTCTGGTTTTATATTCAATATTTCTGAAGGCAAGTTTTGAGATTATCAAGTTGAATTACTGCCTTTAACATCTTGTGAACCTATGTCCCATTGGCCTGTCTTACCAATATTCCTTAGCAGTTTCCTAAATTGGTATCGTCTGCAAATTTCAATACAAGTACCTTAAAATCTGGTATCCAAATTATTGATATGTACAGTGAATAATCTTTAGGCATAGAAGGCACTTTAATGACAATATCTTCAGTTTACTGAAAATCTTTTTAGTTTGCAGTCAGTCTGGCAAATGTACAAGTAAGAAATCTTTATTTGTTCATTTTTCACTACCAATCAATGCTTCAAAATCACCAGTATGTTAGTTAAACTAAAACATCTCGCAGTCATGAAGGTGTTTTGCAGTTTTGAAGGTGCAACTTTTATATAAGATAATATGAAATTCTACTGATGCCTTACCTGCCTGTTTCAGGTTGCAATCAGGACCCTCAATTTTTTTAAGGGAGGGGAGAGTGTTTCCAGTGTCTTGGACAAAGTTCATTCCTCAGTTAATGTTACCAAAATAGATCGACTATTTATTTGTTGGAATCATGATATTTACAAATTAACTGCTGTATTTGCCTAAAAGACAGTGAATAAATTTCAGAAGAAATTCATTTTCTGCGACACATTTTTGACATATGCTGTGAATTGTGCACTATCAAGGAGAATTCTTGCTTCTAAGTTCTCAATGATTAAAATATGTTCTAATTGCCTCTCATTGCTTTGGTGCTTATATATAGTACAGATTTAAATCTGTCATGTTTTGAAATACTTACTGCTTTGAAACCATGAAACTTTTCATTTTAAAGATGTTCTGTCTGTAACTAATTATTTTATTTGGATACTTTATGAATTTATGTTAATGCAGGTAGCAGTATCAGATGAACCTGATGCACTATACAAGAGGATTTCTGTGTTGGTAAAGGGCCATGATAAAGCTGTACTGGATAGCTATGAATATTTTGCTACACTTGCTGCTAAAGAGCTGAATATCACTGTTGATAAAGTGTAAGTACATTGTTGTTATTACAAGCAGCCCCTTGTATCTTTTAGGATTTAATTTATCATATGGATTCTTTTCAAAATTGGACTTGCTTTCCTTTCTTTCAAATACACTGCAGTGACTCAGGCGATAAATCCTTGCACTGCATCTGCTCTACGGTATTAACAACTCTCTGTTATGTCAGAACATAGCCTGCTTTCCCACGTTCCTATTAAGTTGTTTGTTCCCTGTGACATTTGGTATTCTGTATGTAAATTAATAAACTTTATTAATTTTTTAGTCTATTCATGGTTTCATTCTCATAACTAAACCAAACCCTGCCTACATAAATGGTGATATCCTCTTTGATATGAAAGTCTTTACCCGAAGATTTTGGCTGGTGACTGTACTGGAAGTTGCTACCCACAGTTTGCGAAACCCACAGTTAAGGCAGTTAATTCAGTTTTGACTTCAGAACCAAAGGTTCATGGTCTCAGTTCAGAGGAACCATGTTCAGAGTTTCTGAACAGTGTTTCTTCTCGCAGGGAAACCATGTTTTGCTGTTCAGTTCAAGGGAACCAATCACCTTAGTAAAAGTGGTTTCCAGACTCTGGAAGTTCCAGAGTTTGGGTAGAAATCTTCAAGTTGTTGGAACTGAAAAGGTTTAGTATATCAGAATTGTGTTTCATACCCTTGGGTACAGAAAGGGATCATAAAACTGTCTCAGCAATCCAAAAGAAAGAAATTGGATAGTGACCGTTAAGTGAATATTTAAAAGGCTAAGGCAGGAGTGATATTTCTGTGGAATTGAGTAATTGTAATAGGCAGTGTCAGGAAATGAGTTGTAATTTCTTGATGTTTGTGTCAAGATCTTTCTAACCATCTTGTATAAATATATTCATATATAGCTTTAATTTTTTTGTTCTTTGGTGAAATACAGTTATGTTTTGTTGTTAAAAACATCATCTTCATCTGAACAGCACAACCATCTTCATTTTGTTTTAAGTATTAGTCTAATCAGTGGAGAATTTTGACACAGTTCCCATTGAACAGGCCTGACAAAATTGAGTCAATGCTATACGTGATCAAATGCTATCTTGATGTTAAATGATGGCAAATTGTGTGTTACTAAGGGAGGCAGAATGGATTTCTGAAGGGAAAGTTATCCTAACTAACTTCCTGCCGTTCTTTGAAGAGGTAACTGACAGTTAGAAGGCTGGCAATGCTGTTAATGTGGTGCACATGGTCTTGCAGAAGGCATTTGATAAAGTGTTGCACAACAGACTTGTGAGTAATTGAATTGAATTGAACTGAATTACGTTTAGTACAGTGAAAAGTTTACAAGTCGATGCTTATGGCGCCATCTTAAGTACAAAAGTACCTAGATACAGAATTTTGGTACAAAGCAGAAAAATAAAAAAACAAAATTAAAAAGTTAAACCTTACAGTCCTTATTACTAAAAAGTGGACAAACAAAGAAACACAGTTAACAGTTCAACACCATAGTCCATAAGCGTCTAGCCATGCTGGCTAAAGTAAACTTCATGGTATGAAAGGGACATAGTGACAGGAAACAATAATGGTGAATGGATTTTTTTTTGGGATTTGGGAACGTTTGTACTGGAATTGACTAGGGATCAATATCGGGACCCTTGATTTTTCTTCTGTATAATAACCTGGACCCTGGTGTGCAGAACAGGGTTTCAAAGTTTGCAAATAATACAAAACTTGGAAGCATTGTTCACTGTGAGGAACGCAGTGAAGAACTTCAGAACGACATAGACAAGTTGATGGAGTGAGCAGATAGGTGGTGGATAAAGTTCATTGCATTGCCATGTAATGGCATATGTTTTGGTAGGAACAATTAGGAGGAACAACATAAAGGTTACAACTCTAAAGAGATTGCAGGAGCAGAGGGATCTGGGTAGGTGTAAATGTGCATAAGTCATCAAAGGTTGTAGGACAGGTTGAAGGAGAAGTTAATAAAGCATCTAATTTCTTAGGCTTTATTATTAGAGGCACAGCGTACGAAGGCAAGAAGGCTGTGTATATAAAACACTACTAGAGTGGGCTCAGCTGCAGTATTGTGTACAGTTCTGGACACCACATTTTAGAAAGGATGTGAAGGCATTGGAGAGAGTGCAGATGTGATTTATGTGAATGGTTCCATGGTGAGTGACTTCAGTTATGAAGATAGAGAAAAGAAGGCTGCGAGGAGATCTGATGGAGTATTCAAATTCATGAGAAGTCTATACAAATAGGGAGAAAATGTTCATACTCATGAAAATAGGGGAGGGGGGTTACAGATTTAAACTAGTTAGTTAAATGAAGCAAAAGTGCTATGAGTAAAATCTTAATCACACATTGAGTGGTTAGGGTCTGGAATGCATTACCATGGTGAGTGGTGGGATGCAGATTCAGTTGAGGTACTCAACAAGGAGTTAGAGTTATTTAATAAAACTTTAAATCTGCTCCCTTCCATTCTTGATCATTTCGTAAGTGGGAACATTTTTTCCCCATTTTCTCTGTCCAGATTTCTCATGATTTTGAACAGTGTTCCCAATTTTGGCACAGACTCAACAAGGGCCACTTGGATGAATTGATAGGACGGGGTGTACCATTGTAATTTCATTTGGCACATCGTTACCTGTTCAGCATTATTCTTTCCTATTTTTCAGAACAGTTAGTTATAAATTGAGTGATATGGTAGACCATATCGCTAGCCATTGAGAAACAATCATATTGCTGGGTCTGCAGTCACATATAGGTCAGGATGGCAAATCAGACAGGCTTTTATAACAATCCAGTAGCTTCCTGGTCACCATTATAGGTACTAGTAGTACGTCTGTTTTGCCATTTTTGATATTTTATATGCAGCTTTGGAATATTGCATTTGTAAAATCAGTAAAGTGAAAATGAATGTCTTTGTGAAGTTGATTTGATCTTTTTTTAAAACAAAACTTGTTTTTTTTTAAGGTATGAACCTGTAAAGAAAATTGATAGAATGACACTTCTCAAATCTGTTCATATTTTCAAGAAGCACAGAGTTCAGTATGAGATGAGAACATACTACAGATGTATAGAGGCAAGTAAAAAGCAAAATATTAGATAAAAATCTGGGACGTAGTAAATATCTATAAAATTTCAGCTAAGACAGAAAACATTCAAACTTCAAATAATTTTGAACCATTCTTTGGAATGAAAGTAAAGATAATTTTAGTGATTATATTGATTTCTTGTTTTTCACTGTTGATCTTTTCGCTTAGTTAGATCAACATAATTCTTTGACGAAAATTTTAACTCCCAGGACAAGGATGCATTTGGGGATATTCTTAGCTCGTAAACCCAACTCAGGAATGTCCGAGATAGTTGGATTTTGATTTGGGGTTGGGAATCTACGGGAGACATTTGGGAATGAAATAGCACGTACTGACTATTTATCACAATGCAGTTTTTTTCACAAATTTAAAGACCATTGATTTATTTCCATGGTATCGATTAGAAGACAAGTAATCAGAGCAGTAAGTGACAACGTATTTAAACTAGGTGCAATAATTGAAGAAAGTTATGGTTGTACTGCTGAAATATATGCAAATTTTTCATTAAAGGTGAGGTTCAAGGTTCAAAGAGATAACTGCATAAAGTAGTGATGTAAATTTCACTGTTTCACTGAGTCGTTTTTAATTTATTTTAAATGATTAATTCTGAACGTAATAATTAGATGGTGAAGGCATGCCGGTTATCAAAATCTGCAGTCAAATTTATTTTAACTTGCTTAGATTCTGCAGCAGAATTCAAGCAATCTGCATTGATGACCTGGAGTTTTCTGTTATTACCCCAGTATTACAATGACTGTTGGAGTCTGTACATGAGCAGGATACCATGGAGATCCAGAATTTGCTTTAAGTGGATTTTATATTTCCACTGTATATCTTGCCAATACATTGGAACAGGAGGTTGGTGCCAGTGATGTCATCATTGTGCATCCATATTGCCATGGAACTGGACATTGATGCCGATGCTGCCGTCGATGTTATTGTTATGCATCTATTGTTGTCTTTCTCTTGTTGCCCCATTCTCCTCCTCTCTCACTGGCCTACTCACCCTCTTCTTAATGTCCCAACAAACCCGCTTCCTTCAACAACGTACCGCTGTCACCAACACACTTGCCTGGATTAACAGCACTCAAGAAGTAGGACAGTGATTGAGGCAGGTGAGCAGGAAGAGCTTTTTCTCCTCTGACTGAACTGTTTTGCAATTCTTTTCAAAAGCTACTACACTAAATAAATTTAAATTTTCATTGCTGGCACTCACATCACAGGCAAGGTGACTGTGAATGGGCTGTGAATGTGCCCTCTGCAGTTGTAATGGCATCAAAACGAGCCTTCCATTTTTCCACAGAGAATGCTATTAAAGTTTTCATTCCCAGAGTGAACCCGAAACAGTCAGAGAATTTGGATAAGTTTCCACTTCTTTATAGATGCTCTCACTGTTTTAATAAAAACCCTTAAAAGTTGCACTTTAAATAAGGAGTAACTGAGTTTTTAACTGACCTTGACTTTATACTTGTAGAATATCAATTTTTTTCCGCTGAAATTTTTTAAAAATGCATTTTTACCTCTGGTTTAAAAAAAAAACTAAGGGATACGATGCAGTGGTGGTTTATGAAGTCAAGAATAGATCAATAATAGTTTCTCAAACCTGTTGCACCATTTAATGAAATTAAATGGCCTGCTCGTGTTCCTGCATCCCGATATGACATAGCTACTTACACAGCTTGCTGGTATGTATTAATGGATGCCTGGAGATTTTTTCTGTTCATTCTTGAAGTGAGGGTATCATTGGCTGGGCCAGCATTCATTGCCCTTGAGAAGGTGTGGTGAGCTGTCATCTTGAACTGCTGCAGTTCATGTGCTGTAGGTAAACCCACAATGCCATTAGGAAGAGAGTTCCAGGATTTTGACCCAGTGATGCTGAAGGCACAGCAATATATTTTCAAGTCAGGATGGTGTGTGGCTTAGAGGGGAACATGCAGTGGTGGTGATTCAATATATCTGTTGCCCTTGAAGATCCCCTTGGTAACACGCAATTCTAAACTACCATCAGGAAAGGGGAAATCCAAGCCAGAGAGTGTTCCTTATCTTGGTGGGAAGCTGCCTTCATCATCATCAGCAATTGCTTTAATTGCAAAATCCAGCCCATTGTGTCCCTCATCCCATCCTGCTCATTAGATGTTCTCTTTTACTTATCAGCCTGTTTGGATTGACTTTCATTCACATTTTTAATCACTCTTGTACGCTAATGAAAATAGAATATTTCAGTAATGTTTAGGGAATGGTAAATGGCCTTAATGATTAATAGGCCCCAACAGTTTATCTCAACCATCTCCCCCTTCCTTTCCGACAGTTTTAATGTGCTCCTCAAAAGAATGAATCCGTTCAGTCAACTTGCATGCTCAGTTATCTCATGCTGAAATTAGTTTATAATAGTTAAAACAACAAACAGTACATTTAGTTTAGTGAGAAATTTGCTACATGTTCTAAAATATTTCTAAATACATTTAGCCAATCTGTTCTCACATTCCTTCATAGAACTACAATGTCTAACTTTGCTGACACATCTCAAATTTTCCATTCATATCCTACCTAAAGTTTCAAAGGAATTACACTCAGTTATTACTAAAAATGTGCTGTGATTTCAGGCATAAACAGCTGGACCAGAACATTCTAATAACAATCCAAGTGTAAAGTTTCTTGGTAGTTGATATGTACAAAGGTAGTGTTGCCATCTGTTATCGTGACTTAAGATTATGTACAGTTCAAGGCTCCAAAGTTGTTCTTCCAAATGCACGTTGTTTGCCAGTCAGTTTCTTTGCTATTTGTCAACAAGTCTAATAATCAGAATTTGTTGTCTTTTGTTAATTAACTTCATAGCTATTCTTAGAGGTGCAGTTGTTTTGTCAACTCATACTGTTGATCAGTGAGGTGCCCTCAACTCCTTTTAAAAATCCTTGTTTTGGGGAAAAAAACTTTACTGGTACCTAATACTTTGTGTAAAGCACAATTGAATTGAATGTATAACGTAAGGGCAGTTTATAAATCTTGCTTGCTGTAAGATTGAAGAATTTGGGCTTATTTTTAATGCTGTTCTTTACTAGATCAAACATTTAACTGGAAGCACTGCAGATGTGTACTTGGAATATATCCAGCGCAATCTTCCAGAAGGCATTGCAGTGGAGGTGACCAAGGTCAGTCTTATATTGGTACTTGTACAGTTTTTCTGTTTTGTCTGTCACATATGTCTTTAACTTAAGAAACTTCTTTTCTTTTTCAGACTTTGTTACAAAAGCTACCGGAACATATTAAAGAACCTATTTGGAGAATTCACTCTTCTGAAAATGAAGGCAAGCCAGATAGTTAAAGCCAGTGGACATTCTCCTGTAACTGTTTATTGTATTTATTTTAAAATACCTTATAAATGAACTCTTGTCCAAGTGTTTCATCTTTGTGTTCGAATATCTGGTCTGTATATCTTGAAGTAAAAATTTTTTAAAAAAAGAACTTAGAATTTCCCAAGACTTCTATGCAGCATCTCTGTGGAGCTACTCAAGTGTAGCCACTTGGTAACATATTGGAAATTAATTAAACATTCAGGTATTTGTCCAAGTAACTTGAATTAGAAATGACTAAAATTCAATAAAGTTGTTTGCTACTAAGGCTACCGAGACAATAGTTCAGGGGATGTGGTGAGATTAATGGGGTGGGAGGAATATCCTTGCGCTGACCCAGACTTGCTGGCTGCACTCTGAGACACAGGTTGATGCTATCTAAGTAATATTAATTACAAAACCAGAATTTCTGTACAATCGCCAATGCATTATTTATAATAATTAGGGTTTTATTGTTTATCCCCTGGTATGCTGTCCAACAACACTTCATTTTGGTCTACAAGTTCATTGTACTTATGGAAATTGCCCTTTTGACATAATTGGGGACTGTAATGGACTCATATACTTAGCCACCATGGCTGGTGTCAAATATAACCTAATGTGGAGACATGCGATAATGTTTTAGGAGGAAAAGAAAGAAATGGAAGTATACATTAAAAAGGAAGATGCTGGTTGATGTTGATCAGCAGGGACAGCTAAAGGCTCAAATACATAATTCCTTGAAGATGCACATAAAAGAGGATAAAGCTATAAAAAGTCCATAGTATTTTCAATATTACAAATAGGAGCACAGTACCTAAGCAGGAATTAATAAATTTGTGTAAGATAATGGCTAAGCTAAAGTTTCAGGACTGTGTGTAAATTTGGATGCATCTAGAAAGAACATCAAATCAACATACAACAGAGATTCACCCATTTGATACTAGTTTCGACAAGCTAATCATAATACAGTATTAGAGTGTGTGACTATTTCCATCAGCAGGTGAGACAAATAAACACATTCAATATATAGAAAAATGCAATAAAGAATTGATTAGAAAGGATTCATCTATTTGGAAGAGATTACGATAAATTTCTTGTATTGCTGCTACCAAAGCTTTGCTGCAGTGAATGGTTGAGGTAGAGGCCTTTATACTTATTAAGTGAAAAACTGAATAACTGTTTGAAGTAGGAGATAACAGCAAGGCATCACAAATTTTCTTTAATCACTTTTAACAAAGAGCTAACACACACATAATCTAAATGGCTTGTGTTGTAAATTTTAAATATATATATATGCCTGAAGTGGTAAATATTTGCCAGTTGTCTTTTTTCATTCATCCTCAGGAATTGGTAATGCTGTCAAGGCCAGCATTTTTTGTGCTACCTAATTACCCTAAAAGATTGGTGATAAGCCTTTTCAAGCAACTGCAGTCAGTATGACAAACCAGGCTGTCAGAAGGCAGCTGAAAGTCAATGATTTTGGCATGTGGTTGGAGACACACTTTGGCTAAACTTTTCCAAAAGGCCATCAGTGAATAGTTTTTTCTTAAAAAAGAGGCTTTATGTTTACTGTTTACTGGTGGCATTTTGTCTCGTTTGAAATTTCCAGATTTTGATTTAACTGAATTAAACTGAAAAAGATGTAGAGAGATGTGAAGAAGTTCTGAAGAAAGGTCACTGAACCTGAAACCTTAACACCGCTTTCGCTCCGCATATGCTGCCAGACCTCCTGAGTTTTTGTTTGTGAGGAAGAACTTGTTTTTATGCAGCAAGTAAATACTGATCTGCAGATCATTGGTTATGAGGGTAGTGGAAGGAGAGCAATTAATTATTTCAAAAGGAAATTAGATTGCCACCTGAGGGAAATCAACTTGCAGGGCTATGGTGATAAAGCAGGGGAATTTGACTGAAAGACTGCTACACGGACAGGTTGCATGGACAAAATGGCATCCTTCAGTAAGATCATGACTCTGAATTCAGATTCTTTTATTGCTGTGTTTTCTAAATTATTAATCTATCTCTCAAGGGTGCTAGTCCAATGACATACTCATATGTAAATACCAAGTTACTACTTAAATGTCCCTTTTCTAATGAATTTCATATTTTGAATCAGAGTTGGAATTTTAACTAATTTCAAAAATATAGACAGTTAATTTTCAAAACAGATTTTATTAATTCACGTTTGTATTATCTGGGTGACGAACTGTGGAATATAATATAGTATGTGAACTTCCACTATTTCTGATCTCTCATAAAATTTCAGGAAGAAGGTTTTTTGCATCAAAGATCATGATGTATCATGTTTCTATATGTATAATTTCTACACTTACATACTTTTAACGTTGTAAAACCAGGTAATTGGACAAATCAAATTAAATGTAAGCAAATATCTGAAATATTGAAGCGATTAGCATAATTATGGATAATGAAATAAATAAAGCAGCTGCTTAAATTAGAAATTTCTGTATACGCTAAATTGAGAATTATTTACATCAGATGGTATATATTTATCATATATATCTTATTTCCACATCGTGAACATGTAAAATAAAATTTACCAGTAGCTTTGAAATGGAAGTTGTGTGCAGATAAATGGATACTTCACTAGGTCCCTAATTCTGTGTTTCAACAATTTATTCATGAACTATCATGTTATTATATTTAAAATCTAGACACCATTACAATGTTGAACAATTCTGGTAAAAACAATAAATTAAACTCCCTCCTTTCTTTGTTCACAGTTGGTGATTAAATAAAACCAGAAAAAAAACATTCTGAACACGTTTTGCTGAGATGATTTCTGAATGGTGTGGGATGCATTTTATTATCTAAAAGAGAAGCTAATCTATGTGTTGTGTGGGTGAGAGAGGGGAATCTGAATTTCTGTATTTTGAATCCATAAAGTAAATTCTTAAATTTTAAAATTTAAAGATTATAGTGGATCAGTCTTCGAATTTATAATATTTGAAATCTGTTTTGTGAAGTGCTGAAAAGTGTAACTTTTGAAAATACTTCATGGGCTGTAATGTTCTACTACCTTTAATACTTTAATTACACAAGTTGGATGAGCTAGGAGTTGTATTACAACAAAACTTCTTAAACATAATTCTAGGTCAAGTAGCAGGATAGCCAGAGAATCTCTTAGCTGAAAGAAATACTAAAATTGCTTTTGCAATGTTATTTAATTTAAATTAATATACTCCAGCTATGCAATATGTCAAATACTGAAAGCAGTACATTTTTACTGTTTTCAAAACTCTTGCATTCACATTTCTTTTAAGTATTTGTATTCTCAACATTCTTTCCTGCTTCTTTAATTAAAGATAGGTTAAATGATTGGGTAGATGGAATATAACATGGGAAAATGTGAGATTATACACTTGGCAGGAAGAATAGAGGAGCTGAATATTATTTAAATGCAGAAAGACTGCAGAAATTTACAGGACAGAGGGATTTGGGAGTCCTTGTGCATGAAATCACAAAAAAGCAAGCATCCAATTTCAATGGGTAACAGGGAATAGAGTATAAAAGCAGAAAGGTTTTGCTAAAATTGTGAGGCACTAGTCAGACCACAGCTAGAATTGTGTAAACAGTTTTGATCCCCTTATTTAAGGGAAAGACATATTGGCTTTGGAGCCAGTGCAGAGAAGGTTCACTAGGTTGATATGGGGTTTGGAGCAACTGACTTATTACAAAAAGTTGAGTAGGTTGGGCCTGTACTAAATAGAAATCAGAAGAATGAGAGGTGACCTTATTGATGGGTACAGGCACTGTCACCCCTCCGGACAAAAAACAAAATTTCAAGGGCTGACCAGCAAGCATTCATAAAGTACATATATCCCATCTTTCTTTCTTGTAGTCAATACTGGAAAACTATCAGAATTGATCTCTCTGGGGATGCTTCCTACTGTTGTCACAATTTGTTTCTGCACTAACATGGAACCTTTCTAGCCCTCTGTAACTAAGATTTTTACCATGTAGTTTATCTTTAGATGGGGTGGGAGTTGAGGGATGGTGCAGTCAACACCTATTTTATTTCTGACTATATGCAATGAAGAATGATAATGAGCTGTTAAGCAGTGTGGTAAACAGAGAAGACCACCATATCTTTTTCTTGCAAGTGCAAGTGATATCTTCACAGATACTGTGTTCCTGCCAAATTCTCAACATCAGAAATAGTATCAATTAGATCATAGGCATGACAACTTCATTTAGAACCATTATCATAAGCTTTGAATACATTCGCTTATCCAAATAAAAAATATTGGAAAACTTCACTTTTATTTACAAACTTCTTTGCAATAGCCAGGGGTACCCATATCAGCACAAAGACTAGTGGTGGATGGAATTGTTACTCTCTGGCTCCCTTTTGCAACTTAATGCGGTGTAATTCTTCACAGATCTCTCCCTCCCAAATGAAAATCAATTTATGATAGGTTCCACAAACACCTGTAGCCTGCTCATACAATACATAACTACTGATGTGAAAGGGTGCTACTTGGTCCCTGTAGCCACTGATTGATTGCTCCAATATGGACTTCTCAAGCTTCAATGTTGATTTTTTACGTTTGAAAGTTCCGATCACTACCTCTCCAAATGGAAATAAATATTAAGCTGTTTTGCTATTATTTCTAGAAAGCAAAGCAGTTTCTTCAGGCTGTTTCAGCCACCTTATAAATTTTACTTTATTTTTGTTTCCTAGGTAATCTCAAGTCTTTAGTTCTGATGCCTTTTAATAAAAGAAGCTTTTTGCAAATTTGAAATAGCATACACCACCCTCCCTCAATTTCTGCTATACATACTTATTAATGCTTGTTCATTTTATTCATTTGAAGTTTATCTGTAGAATACTTCAAGCATTTTGCCTACCTTGGGTCTGAAGCTAAACTCCCTGTAATTACTAATTTTATGCTTTAACTTTTAAATAATGGAATTACATTGCTATTCACCAGCATGTATGGATTATTTCAACTGTTCAGCAGCTCTTAATAACAAGATTTTTTAAAATTTTTCTTGACATCTATTAGTCTAATTGACCCTTGGAGTGTTTTAGAACTTCTATGCCCTACAGGTTGCTCAGGTCCATCTACTATAGTTGGTCTTTACCTACAATCCTTTTAAAAATAAAGAACAATCGAGTTGATATCTGCACCATACAAAGTCAGAGCTTTTACAGCATGCAAATAGGCCATTCAGCCCAATGTGTATTTGCCAGTCATCAAACATCCATTCTTTCTCATCCTGTTTTTCAGCTGTATTACTTTATTTTTACTATTAGCCTGCATCATGTGCTTCTGCTGCGGAATCCTAACAGTTCCACAGCTAACTGAATTTCAATTTCAGGTTTCTGTTTGACTTTGAGGTGAGATTTTTTTTCAATTTCACAACTGCTTGTTTACGGTCTACCCAAAGCTTTCAAAACCTTAACATTCATCATCTTCAACAAGAAAGTTGATTTCTCAGTGCTGTCATCAGCTACCCGACTATGACTATTTGCAAACTGGTTCATCCAAAAAGCTGCATCTGATTTTCCCATACAACAATGAATGTCACTCTTGCTTACCTCTGCTAGCCATCTATACTCCTAAGAAATTGCGATTGCGATTCCTATCTCCAATTTCCTTTAGTATCCTGCTCCATCTTGTCTGAGTAATCTTTTGCAGTCACATATCCCTTTCATATTGCCACATTCAAATTCCAAAACTATTTTATAATTCCACCTCTCTGCCACTTCCAAAAGCTTCTGTGAAATCCATCTCTTTAAACATGCAGAGATAACAAGGATGAACACAGCAGGCCGAGGAGCAGGAAAGCTGACGTTTCGGGCCTAGACCCTTCTTCAGAAATGGGGGAGGGGAAGGGGATTCTGAAATAAATACGGAGAGAGGGGAAGGCGGATAGAAGATGGATAAAGGAGAAGATGGATGGAGAGGAGACAGACAGGTCAAAGAGGTGGGGTGCAGCAAGTAAAGATGAGTGTAGGTAGGGAGTTAGGGAGGGGATACAGTCCAGGGAGGACGGACAGGTCAAGGGGACGAGATGAGGCTGGTAGGTAGGAGATGGGGGTGGGGCTTGAGGTGGGAGGAAGGACAGGTTAGGGAGGCGGGAACAAGCTGGGCTGGTTTTGGGATGCGGTTGGGGGAGGGGAGATTTTGAAGCTTGTGAAGTCCACATTGATACCATTGGGCTGCAGGGTTCCCAAGCGAAATATGAGGTGCTGTTCCTGCAACCTTCGCTTGGTTCGCAACAAACAACTGCACCTCCCAGTCGCGAACCACTTCAACTCCCCCTCCCATTCCCCAGACGACATGTCCATCCTGGCCTCCTGCAGTGGCACAACGATGCCACCGGAAGGTTGCAAGAACAGCACCTCATATTTCGCTTGGGAACCCTGCAGCCCAATGGTATCAATGTGGACTTCACAAGTTTCAAAATCTCCCCTCCACCAACCGCAACCCAAAACCAGCCCAGCTTGTCCCCGCCTCCCTAACCTGTCCTTCCCCCCAACTATCCCCTCCTCCCACCTCAAGCCCCACCCCCATCTCCTACCTACCAGCCTCATCTCGCCCCCTTGACCTGTCCCCTCCCTAACTCCCCACATACGCTCACCTTTACTGGCTCCACCCTTGCCTCTTTGACCTGTCTGTCTCCTCTCCACCTATCTTCTCCTTTATCCACCTTCTATCTGCCTCCCCCCACCGCCACTTCTCTATTTATTTGAGTCCTCTTCCCCTCCCCCATTTCTGAAGAAGGGTCCAGACCCGAAACGTCAGCTTTCCTGCTCCTCTGATGCTGCTTGGCCTGCTGTGTTCATCCAGCTCTACACCTTGTTAGCTCAGATTCTCTAGCATCTGCAGTTCGTACTATCTTTTAAACATGCATTCTTCTTTATTAAATTTATCCTTTTCCTACTTGATGTCCACCCTTGCTTTTTGATGTACTCTAAAATTTTTGGAACCTACAAACTCAAGTTGCTGCTGGTAACTTCCTTATTTTCCAACAACACTATTGTAAAGCAATCAGAAGTAGTAAGCCTAATGAATTTGCCCCCTTCTCAGGAATACTGATTAACGTGCTCCACTGCTGCTGGAGCACAGACTAGTGATCACATGTGCAAATGTTTGCATTGCTGAATATCAAAACAAAAAGGTGAATTTGTTTATTTCATAATTATGGTATTTAAAATCATGTTCATTCTTGCAAAAACAGCAGCTTTAAAACACAGCAGCCACTTTACAGTTGTGCGAAGCAAAATGCCTTTGCACAGATTCAGGCAACCCCAGTGTTAAAAAATGATTATGCAAAACATCTCACCTTAATTCAGCGCTCAAGCCTCCCAGCAGTCTCAGCACCATCAGTAAGCCACACAGGATGCACTACCTACGTAATCTTACGGGAGACAACAACAGCATCAATCTTGCTCTACAGTAAAAGGTGATTAAAATTAAATTTAATAATTACATGCAATCTTGAAGAAAATTAGTTATAATTAAAATAATAAAAAAACTAATTAAAATTGGTTAACAGGCTTTTTGCATCAAAAGCTTAAATACAAGCAAATTTTAAATTGCACAACATTAAAATGACTACATTTTAATTACCCATAAATCCTGTTTCGATGGTTAGGTCTACAAATTAAACTATTAATCTCTTCTAATGCTACCTTTTAAAATTAATTATTATTGGAAGCCAGATATATAATGGGACATACCCACATAAAATTTAGTTAACCATACCTTAACAAATTATTGTCTCTTTGTGCATATAATTTCTGTTTGGAGATTTAAGACCCAAAGTAGGACTAACCTAAGGTTAACTTGAACTGCAAACTTGTCAAAATTTAGCCCTTGGCACAAAGAGAACTAGCAAAGTTCATTGTTAAACAAAGAGCTTTAGTGGAAAGTTGTGTTGTGATCATCCTGCA